TCAGAGCTGACTATGAATGGTAGGATGCCTTGACGTATCTTGATCAGGTCAAGGTACAGTTTCACGACCAGCCAGACGTGTACAATCGGTTCCTCGACATTATGAAAGACTTCAAAAGCCAGGCGTATGTGATTGATCCGTTGTTCAGGTGACACAACTGACCAAAGCAGCATTGACACTCCCGGGGTCATCAATCGCGTCTCGGAGCTATTCGCTGGTCATCCGAACCTAATCCAGGGCTTCAATACCTTCCTGCCACCAGGCTACCGGATTGAATGCGGTGCTGGCAACGACCCTAACACCATCAGGGTCACCACCCCTATGGGCACAACTGTTCAGTCCATTGCTGGCCGAGGAACGCAGGTTGAAGGCCACCCACACCCTAACGGTGCTTCTCAGCCGCTCTTTCCTCAGCGCGGAAACAATTGGCAACAGCAGCAGCAACAGCCTCAGCAGCAGCAACAGCAACAACAACCGCCGCCCCAGCAGCCACAACACAGCATCGAGAGCCCTGAAGCGAACTTCAGTGCGCCTGCGTTTATGAATCAGGGTCACGTCGCACCTTTCGAGGGTCCTGGTGGAAGTCAGCAGCGTGGCCCTCCGGCGCAAGGCGCTGCCCACGCGAACAACGCGCAGCAGCCTCCTCGCAATGCGCAGACCCCTACTCCGGTAACGGGACCCGCAAATCTGAACGGCGCGACCAACCAGCAACAACAACAGGCAAACTTGGAGCGCCGTGGGCCGGTAGAGTTCAACCATGCCATCAGCTACGTGAACAAAATCAAGGTCAGTCTAACTGGACTTTTTTCTTGCTATTCATATCCCCCTTCAGTCTGAGGCCTTGCGCACTAACCACGCCGCAGAACCGCTTTCAGGATAAGCCTGAGATTTACAAACAATTCCTTGAAATTCTCCAGACTTATCAGCGCGAACAAAAGCCGATCCAGGACGTGTACGCCCAAGTCACGACTTTGTTCCACACTGCACCTGACCTACTCGAAGATTTCAAGCAGTTCTTGCCCGAATCTGCTGGACAAGGAGGAAAGGGAACACCCGGACGGCCTGGCGATGAGCTTCCGCCCGGTCCTGGCCCTAACCAAACACCTCAGCCGACTATGAGTGGCCAGAAGATGCCTCCCTTGGGAAGCTTTGCTCCCCCAAGTGCTTCCAAGGAGAACAACAAGAAGCGACCAAGAACTGACAAGCAGACGCCCGTTCCTGCGCCGCCCATTGTGGAGGCTGCTGTCTCAGCCAACCGAGCTGTCACTGGCGCTCCTCCCCCTGCGGCCGTCAACAACAAGCGAACCAAGATGTCTCACAACAAGGCGCTGACTTCCGATGTCCCCGCGGTCGAACCGACACTGACGCCGATATTGCCAGAGCCTTTGGGACCTCCCGCGTCGACCACCTCGAACTCTGACGAGATCGCCTTCTTCGAGAAGGTCAAGAAGTACCTCAGCAACAAGACGTCTTTCAACGAGTTTCTCAAAGTCTGCAACCTGTTCAGTCAATCCATCATCGACCGCAACACAGTATTTCACAAGGGCAGCGTCTTCTTTGCTGCGAATCCCGAGCTATTAGGTTTCTGGAAGGCGTTCCTCAAGTACGAGCCGCATGACGAAATCGTCGATAACAGACCCGCGCCTCCTAGCGGCAAAGTGTCATTGAGCAACTGCCGAGGCTACGGGCCTAGTTATCGTCTTCTTCCCAAAAGGGTATGTCAGCCAGACTCGTTGTCCTATTTGCACTCGCTAACCATTAATCAGGAGCGTCTCAAGCCTTGCAGCGGCCGCGATGAACTCTGCAATTCCGTGTTGAACGATGACTGGGCGTCGCACCCAACCTGGGCCTCCGAAGATTCCGGATTCGTCGCTCATCGCAAGAACGGCTTCGAGGAGGGTTTGCATCGCATCGAAGAAGAACGTCACGACTACGACTTCAATATCGAGGCAAACCTTAAGTGCATTCAGCTCTTGGAGCCTGTCGCTCAGCAGATCAGCGTCATGTCACCTGCGGAGAGAGAGCACTTCCAGATGCCGCAGGCCTTGGCTGGACACAGTACCTCGGTCTTCAAGCGTGTCTGCAAGAAGATCTATGGTGAAAAGGGTCCCGAAGTCGTCAACGACTTGTTTAGTAACCCGCTGAATGTGGTCCCGATTGTGTTGACCAGAATGAAGCAAAAGGACGAGGAATGGCGCTTCTCGCAGCGTGAGTGGGAGAAGGTGTGGCATGCTCAAGTTGAGCACATGCACCTCAAGAGTCTTGACCATATGGGCATTCTCGTCAAGCAGACCGACAAGAGGAACCTCTCAGCTAAACACCTTGTCGACGTCATCAAGACGAAGGCCGAGGAGCAGAGGCGCCAGCGCAGCTTGAAGGGCAAGGCCCCGCGTCATCAGTTGGTTTGGGACTTCAACGACAAAAAGGTTGTCGTCGAGCTGCTTCGTCTGATGATGCTCTACACTGTCAGCAGCGGCCAGCACAGCGTTCCAGAGAAGGAGCGCATTGCCGACTTCTTCGAGACATTCATCCCTGCATTCTTCGATATTCCTGAGGAAGAATTAGAGGGTCGTCTGCCGAGGCTTCAAGATGTATCGGAAGAGGATGAGACTGAAGAGGCCGTCCCTACCGAACTTACCAACGGCCGCAGCCGCCGTGCTGGCAGAAGGGGTGATTTACTTCGTGGCGTGCTCGATCCTGGCCGCAACGGCTCTAAGCCGCGTGCGCAGAAGGAGGGAAGCGCGGCATCTGGCAGCAAAGAGACGACGCCCGAAGTTGGGTCAGCGAACGAAGAAGAAATGCCCGATGCTCCCGAGGATGGCACTGGCCCCGACGTGTCCAACGACCGCTGGATGCCGATTGTCCCGCAGCCAATAGTCACGACTGGGGACGATGCTCTCCTCACCGCTGATGGCGAACTGAAGGCCGATGGCTTCTTCTCGCGGCCTTGGCACAACTTTTTCTGCAACCAAACCATATTCGTCTTCTTCAACGTGTTCCAGACGATTTACACCCGTCTTAGAGATGTTAAGGAGAGCAAGGAGAGTGTCGTCGAAGAGGTTAACCGCGTCAACCGACCTCGTCCCGCCAAGGATATTGGCTTGGCCGACAACACTCTCAACTACTTCGGCCCTCATGACGACCCTGAGAGCTTCTGGCCCAAGACGCTTGAGCTTGTTGAGGAATACATCACTGGCGATATCGACGAGGTCCGTTACCAGGATGTTCTACGCCACTACTACCTTAAGAGCGGCTGGAAGCTGTACACCATCCAGGACCTCCTCAAGACTCTGTGCCGTCTTGCTCTCACCTGCAGCAGCACCGACGCGAAGGAGAAGACTCCGGATCTCATCCAGCAGTACCTCCACAGCCGGGAGAAGGAGGAGACAAACTATCAGTCAGAGATTGCTTCCCGCAAGTACGCAGAGAAGTGCGTCAAGGATGGCGAGATGTTTGTCATCTGTTGGGTAAGTCCACTTGAACACCAATTTCTCTCTCTGTCTTGTTTCTAACACGTTTCACAGTTCCCGCTCAAATCGGAAGCCTCTGTCCGTTGGCTGCAGCGTGAAGACACCACCTTCTACATGGATGAGATGAAGGCCAAGGATCGCTGGCAATACTACATCTCGTCCTTCATCCAAGTCGAGCCGACAGAAGGTGTGCCACGGCACAAGCTCCAAAAGACAGTGTTGGCCCGCAATCTTCCTTCTAGCGACGAGAAGTTTGAAGACAGCCACATTCCCAAGCCCATCTCGTTCGACGAAGACCTTTCCATCAGTATCTGTCTGAACTCGAGCAAGATGGTGTGGAAGGCTGGTACATCTGAGTACTTTGTCTACGACAACGTTCCCAAGGACAAGGAGGGCCAGGAGCGACACCTCGAGAGGCTCAAGAACGCGAGTAACAAACGCGACACGAAACTTCGCGAGAAGTTTGTCTTCAACAGCCCCTGGATGAAGGGCATGAGTCAGTCCGACGTCCAAAAGTCCAACGAGGGATGGTCAAAGTGGCTCAAGGATGGCATCGCACCCGCCTCGGACGCAGGGGACGCAATGGACACTGCAGAGTAGTGAAGTCGTGATCCAGCGGAACCGGCGTTTTTAGGTGGCGCGGGCAAAGAAGACAGCAACATGTGTGAGATCGGAGACAAGATGGGCGAAGGCTGAAAGTTCACAATTACGAAGATACCAGGCGGCATAGCGGTGCAGAGCGGCATGGCTGCCATGTTACCCCCAACTTTACATGGATTTGGTCTTCTCTTGATGCCCTGACCACGATCGTAGAATCGTCGGGACGGGTTGGCATGGGAATGGCGTGGGAAAGGTTCGGCGTTTACATGACTTCTTTTTTTCCTAATTTTTCGACCTGATTGCAGAAAGAAGAGTAGAGTGAGGAGGCTTTGGCAGATGATTCTCTCTTTTTTCACGAACACTCATCATGAGAAAGAATGAGATGCGCCTCTTTTTGCGACTCATTCCTTTTCAGTCTTCTCTTTTCTGCAAATGTACAATAATTGTAGTTGCGCAAAATAAAAAGGTCTTGCAAGCAGAAATCTCGATTCAAAACATTGTACTTGTTTGTCACTTCAAAAGTCCCAGGTACCTTACATACCTTGCATAGCATCGGGCCGCACAGTAAGTCCCACACCTTCGGGGCCGATGTCGCGGCGTCGAAGCTTCGGCAACCGCGTTAATTATGCACGAAGCCGCAAAGGTTTCTTCTTGACATCGTAATAAGTAGGTATTGCAGAAAATGGGGAATCTACACAGCCACAGCTCCAGTTGTCTAGATTCTTCTTTAGGAGGGGGGAGGGAGGGGGCGAAGATGTAACATGGGTGGATCTTATCAGATCATCTAATCAGTCAAATCTCCCAGGATCTATCCGAGAACGGTGCATGAGGAAGTGCAGAAAAACGCAAGAAAAAGACGCAAATCACGGCGGCCAAGTGGGCACTTGTGGTCTTAGTCTCCAGGTAGGGTGTGGTAAGGAAGAAGTTTTTGCGGTCGTCGGATTCGTGATATTAGGTAAAAAGATCTGCAATGGCCGCCCATTGCGCTATATCTAAAACTTGGTATACTTTTGTCTTTTTTTGTCTTTTTGAGGTTTTTAAATTTTCCTTCAGTAGTCTTGGAGCCCACCCATCGGCTCATGTACCATGACGCGAGACCAAAAAAAAAAAAAAAAAAAAAGTGGTGTGCGTCAAGTCTTCTGCAGTCTGCACAACCACCAGCGTCACATGCGGCAAAGCCGCTGACTCTGCGCGTGTGTACGTGGGTGCTCGACGGGGTCACGGCCCCACGTTCCTGCCAATTACTTGATTTGGACCGTACGAACTCGGAGCTCCGAGACTTCTACTTTTGGGAGAGGGGGGATCTTGAAGTTTTGCTGTGATTGAGTGTCCGTCTATTGCAGGCTCTCAATGACAATGGCGGAGGCACCACCGCCACCGTTGCAGATACCGGCAACACCAATCTTGGCCTTCTTCTCGCGAAGGACGGTCGAAAGGGTGGTGACGATGCGAGCGCCGGAGCAGCCGAGGGGGTGTCCGATGGCGACGGAGCCACCAAAGACGTTGACGGTCTCGGGGTCGAGGTTCAGGAGCTTAATGTTGGCGAGGGCGACGACGGAGAACGCCTCGTTGATCTCGTAGAAGTCGACGTCCTTCTCAGTAAGTCCGGCGTGCTTGATGGCCTTAGGGATGGCCAGCGCGGGGGCAATGGTGAAGCGCTCGGGCTCGCGGGCGGCGTCGGCCCAGCCGCGGATCTTTGCGATAGGGGTGACGCCGAGCTCCTTCACCTTGGCCTCAGACATGAGGACAACAGCGGCAGCGCCGTCGTTGAGGGGAGCGGCGTTGGGGGCGGTGACAGTGCCGCCATTGGGAATGAAAGCCGGGCGCATGGCCTTGAGCTTGTCAATGTTGAGGTTCTTGACCTCGTCGTCGCGGTCAACCTTGATAGCGGGCTTGCCACGGCCGCCGGAGACCTCGACAGGGGCAATCTCCTTGGAGAAGACACCGGCCTCGGTGGCAGCCTGGGCCTTCTGGTAGGTCTTGATGGCGTACTCGTCTTGCTGCTCACGGGTGAACTCGTGCTCCTTGGCGCAGAGCTCGGCGGACATGCCCATGTGCTCCTTCTTGCCGTAGGCGTCGGTAAGACCGTCCTTGAGGACACCGTCAACGAGGGTCTGGTCGCCATACTTGGCGCCGTTGCGGAGGACGGGGAGGTAGTGAGGAGTGTTGGACATGGACTCGGTGCCACCGGCGACAACGATGTCGGCGCTGCCAGTGAGGATAGTCTGGGCACCGAGGATGATGGCCTTCATTCCCGAGGCGCACACCTTGTTGACGGTCGTGGCGGCGACTCCCTGCGAGAGGCCAGCTCCGAGAGCGCATTGGCGGGCGGGGGCCTGGCCGAGGCTGGTTTTCGGTCAGAATACGTGAATGTTGTATGGGTAATTATAACTCTTCATATGTGCGTGAGACGTACTTGGCGGACAGGACGTTGCCGTAGAAGACTTCTTCGACATCCTCGGGCTTGATCTGGGGGACTCGCTCGACAGCAGCTGTGGAGGGGTAAATGTTAGCTTGCCCCGCGTCTCGCACCGTTGATAAGACATTTACATACCCTTGATGGCGTGAGCACCCAGCTGCGTGGCGCTCAGGCTAGACAAAGAACTGGGAGAAGATGATACGTTAGCTTCTCGATCAAGCGGTCAAGATAATGTTTGTCGAGTGAGCTTATTCGTACCCCAAGAAAGAACCAACGGGGGTTCTGGCAGCAGAGACGATGTAGACGGGGGGAAGGTTGGCCATTTTGAAGGTGGATATGTTGGATGTTTGGGTTTGGATAAATGAAGGAGAGTTTCTTCAAGGATGAGCCGGGAACCGTTCCTACTTAACTGTGAAGAGAGAAGGAAGTAAACAGTTTTTTGTTGGGCAAGTGTCACTAATCAGAATGAGCTGCTTCCAATCCCCCCTCGCCGCCTTTTTGGATGTTTGGTGGGGTTGCTCCGACCCTGCACCGCTCCGGTGGCTTTGTCCACAGCAGGGACCTTGTGGCGCAGTAGGCAGCTCTCTGTCGGAGGTCCCCTGTCCCAAGCTCCACTGTACCTGCTTCCCTAGCGTTGACCGTGCGACCAATTGACATAGCTTCAGCCACTCAGCCTTGCAGCCACACTTCTGGTTCAGCCACAATGTAGCCTTGCCAGAAACTTTGCGCCGCCGTCATGCTGGGAACGCGACTGCGCGTGGACTAGAATTTCAGCAGCCTCCTAGCAACCCACGACAAAAAGTTCATCTCCTGCACCCCTAGACGCCAAGATGGATGATTTATACGACGAGTAAGTCAACATAACAATCATTTGGCTGAGAATATAGTTGGGCTGACAATTGTCATCATAGGTTCGGTAACTTCATCGGCGAGGATGTTGGCTCTGAAGAGGCGTCTGAACGAGGGGCGGAGGGCGATTACGTCTACGGCGATGATGCTAGCGAGGCGCCCGCAGCCACTGGCCAAGAACTGATGGAAATTGACGGCATGTATATTTTGCTCTTGCGCCGATGGAAGTTAGCTAACCTGGGGGAACAGATGACGGCCCATCAAATGCGATCATCCTGCACGAGGACAAACAATACTACCCGACGGCACAGCAAGTATACGGAGATGAAGTCGAAGTTCTTGTACGAGAGGAAGACGAGCAGTTGCTCTCGCAGCCGATCATTGCGCCCGTCGAGCAGAAGAAGTTCAACATCGAAGAGGCCGACCTACCACCCGTTTTCTTCGAGCGCAGCTTTATGACAGACCTCATGAACTTCCCCGATCAAATACGGAATGTTGCGTTGGCAGGACACCTGCACCATGGAAAGACGGCATTTATGGATATGCTGGTGTTGGAAACCCACGATATCACGGACAGGCTCGAGCGCCGGGTCGGCAAGAAGAGAGATGAGCAGCTGAGATACACCGACGTCCATGTTGTGGAACGGGAAAGAGGCGTATCGATCAAGGCTTCGCCCATGAGCTTGGTTCTTCCGAGTTCCAAAGGAAAATCCCATCTGGTCAACATTCTGGATACCCCCGGCCACGTCAACTTTGTTGATGAGGTCGCGGCCAGTCTGAGATTAGCCGACGGAGTCTGCCTGGTTGTTGACGTCGTGGAGGGCGTTCAGGTCAACACGGAGCAAATCATCAAGCATGCTGTTCTGGAGGATATCCCGCTGACGCTCATTGTCAACAAAATGGACCGCCTCATCTTGGAGCTGAAGCTGCCGCCCAAGGATGCCTACTTCAAGCTCAAGCACGTCATCGAGGAGGTCAACACGGTAATCGAAAACACTATCCCGGGCAAGGGCGAGGAAAGACGGATAAGCCCCGAGAAGGGCAATGTTCTTTTTGCTTGCACGGATATGGGGTGGTGCTTCACTCTACAGTCATTCGCAAAGATGTACGCAGACACGTACGGCGGCATCAACACCGAGGACTTCGCGAAGAGATTATGGGGCGATATCTACTTCAACCCCGAGAAACGAAACTTCACCCGCAAGCCGCTAGAGCCACGATCGAGCCGATCCTTTGTCAACTTCGTTCTGGAGCCTATCTACAAGATCTTTACGCACACAATCAGCGACAGCCCAGAGGAATTGAAGGTTGTCTTGGGCAGCCTCGGCATCACCTTGAAGCCTTCTCAGTACAAGGCTGACGCTAAGGTGCTGTTAAAACTGGTCTGCGAGCAGTTCTTCGGTCCCTCAACAGGATTCGTCGACATGATTGTAGGCCACATTCCCTCACCTGACCAGTCTGCGGAGAAGTACTTGGAAAAGTACTACACTGGCCCTCTGGATACGAAGTTGGCTCAGTCCATGAAGACTTGCAACCAAGACGGTCCGCTAGTAATTCATGTAACAAAACTTTTCAGCACCGCAGACGCCAAGAGCTTTTACTCGTTTGGTCGCGTGCTAAGCGGCACAGCTCATCCTGGCTCGCAAGTCCGAGTTCTTGGAGAGGGATACTCGATAGATGACGACGAAGACATGGCTATGGCAACGATTTCTGACGTCTTCATCGCAGAGTCGAGGTACAACATTCCGACGGACGGCGTGCCGGCGGGCAATTTCGTACTGCTCGGTGGAGTCGACAACTCCATCGTCAAAACGGCGACACTCATCCCGCCGAAGCTTGAAGATGATGAGGATCCTTATATCTTCAAACCTGTCACACATTTCACCGAGTCTGTACTCAAGGTAGCTGTCGAGCCCATCAACCCGTCAGAATTACCCAAGATGCTTGACGGTCTGCGGAAAATCCAAAAGAGCTATCCGCTCATCACTACGAAGGTTGAGGAATCGGGAGAGCACATCGTCTTGGGCACTGGCGAATTGTACATGGACTGTGTTCTGCATGACCTTAGACGCCTCTACGCCGATATGGAGATTAAGATTTCGGATCCAGTAACTCGCTTCTGCGAGACAGTCGTTGAGCAGTCAGCGACCAAATGCTACGCCATCACGCCGAATAAGAAGAACAAGATCACGATGGTTGCCGAGCAGCTGGATAAGGGCATCTCGGAAGACATTGAGTCAGGCAAGGTCAAGATCAAGGACCCTATTCGCAAGACAGCCAAGTACTTCGAAGACACCTATGGATGGGACAAGCTGGCAGCGAGAAGCATCTGGGCTTTTGGTCCTGATGAGATGGGCCCGAATATTCTACAGGACGACACGTTGCCCTCAGAGGTAATATCTCCTCCCTCCGCTTTCAGACAACCAGGCAATGGGCTAACAGAACTCCAGGTCGACAAGAAGCTCTTGACAACGGTCAAGGAAACCATCCGCCAAGGCTTCAGCTGGGCAACTAGAGAAGGGCCCCTGTGCGAAGAACGTGAGTCCTTATTTCCCTTACCCCTTGTTAGCATCCGCCTCCTGTCTATTGTCTTGTCCTTGGAACCTTCCTGGTATCCTGCCATTGGTCCCCAAGCAGGCGGGACTAGCTCCCGGGAGGGTCCTACACACATGGGACCGGGGTTGGGGTTGGGTTTTTGGGCATGGCTTGCATTCGCAGCGAGACTATGGTCCCCTCATCTTACCCCGACCTGTCAAAACAAAACCTGCTTCTGCGCACGAGACCTCATTCAACCATGCCTTTTAGGAGGGGGCTGTGGTCGACCGGGGATGGGGGCACGGCCCTTAGCAGATATCTAGTCCCCACATCAGGCCATTCCCCAGCCTTTGCTCTCACACCGGTAACCAACCGCTAACGATACCTGCTCGCTACAGCCATTCGAAATACAAAGTTCAGGATCACGGATGTGTCGTTGGCGTCGGAAGCTATCTTCCGGGGAGGCGGTCAGATCATCCCCACTTCTAGGCGGGCCTGCTACTCTTCGTTCCTGATGGCCTCCCCTCGACTGATGGAGCCTCTGTACTCCGTCTCTGTGACTGGCCCTGAGGACTCCGCAACAGAGGTCTATACAACATTGGCTAGGCGCCGTGGCCACGTCCTTCAGGATGGCCCTGTGGCCGGCACGCCTCTCTATCGCGTCAACGGTCTGATTCCTGTCATCGATTCCTTTGGCTTCGAAACGGACCTGCGCATCAAGACCAAGGGCATGGCCATGGTCAGCTTGACGTTTGACAGTTGGAGCATTGTGCCAGGTGATCCTCTCGACAAGGAGGTTATCCTGCGGCCGCTGCAGCCGGCAAGTGCACAAGCCACGGCCAGAGACTTTGTGCTGAAGACAAGAAGGAGAAAGGGTCTCAGCGAGGACGTGAGCGTGGCAACCTTCCTCGAGCCTGAGTTCTACCAAAGCCTCATGGAGAGTGGCGCTCTTGGCGACTAAGAGGGTGATTCAGTAGCGTGTGGTGGGAGAGCAGCAGTATGCAGGAATGTAGCAAGGTCAGCGGTTCTAACGATGCGGCTGTTGAGACAGTACGGTCAGGCGCTTGCGTGTGGGCCAGTAGTCATGCAAGTCGCCAAACAAGGGCTCAAGAGAATGGAGAGCGATTGGGCTCACATGTGATGAGGCAGCGAGGTTTGTCGGCATCTGCGAATAGATGAGCCGGCCATGAGACAACTCGGGCCGTTGTGTACACCAAGAACTACTGAGAAAAAACGGGGGAACGAGCGTCTTTCGCTTTTCTATCTTAAGAAAAGATGGTGTCTGGTTTCGAAGACTTATTGTTCCCCGCTCCAGTGCCCATGCTTGAAGACGCGGGTCTAGACCAGCCAGGCGAAGGAGGGCGTAATGGTGTGTGCAGAGGGGGCGTGTTTCGATTTCCCCAATCTATGTACTCTGTATCTTTCCTTTGAGAGAGAAGGGGGCGAAGGGGGAGGGGGGGAAGAGTTGGCGGGATCTTGTCTCGAGTTCTTCCTTACGCCATCCTGGAAGGTCGGGGACCTTGCGGGCACCGGTGGCCGAAGACAAGGGGGCTCGGATCGGCGTCCGGCGCCGGACGAGCCCGCATTGGAAGAATATGTGTGCGGCTTTGCCGTGTCCATCTACCTGCTGTATATCATGTTGAAGCACTCGCTCACGCCCGGGTGCTCAGAATAGCTTTCCCCCACACTAGATTGAATTATTACACGTAGATCCTAGACTACCCCGGGGAAGGTTTTCCATGTTCAGCGGGCTTGTATGCAGTCAGTTGGTCGCTTCTTTCTTAGTCATGCATGCAAGTTCTCCAAAGTTCGTCCTGTCGAGTGAGTTTACCAACCCCACGCGTTTGAGAAAGACAGCATAGCCATCAACTCCGGATGATCCAAAATGAGAAAAAAAAGTGACGGTGATGATGCTTTTTACTTGGAGGAACAAATTTTGCAAAAATGCAAAAGGGAAATTGCCCAGAGGCGGATTCGAACCGCCGTCAACACGGATCGCTGTATAGAAGAACCACAACGTATCATCCTAACCAACTAGACGATCTGGGCCAATTTTCG